ACATTTTAGTTGTTGATTTTTTTTTTTAGTATGTGAACTTAATCTTTAAACATCTAATACCTTGAGACGAAAGGAGGATAAAAAAAGTTATATTGCTAATTCCAAGTTTATCGGCTCACTTATTAAATTGAAAGGAAAACTCAAATATATAGAGGACATCGAAAGTTAAGTTCCTCAAACTCCATTACACAATTATTCATCACACAACACGTCAAAATCAATATGATAAACAAACAACAAAAGAGAAAAATACTTCATGTGACACACTCTAATATCAAACAACATTTTCCGAAATCGAACTTAACCAAACTCTTTTAAAATTCTGAACATCAATATTGATGGATAAGTTTGGTTCTAAGCCCACTTAGCAAGGATTGACATTCCACCGCAGCCGAGTAAAGCGGCAAAGAAACACTTGATCTGAAGCTTGATGCTACCTTGGAGCTTTGGCCCCATGAACTCAGCTGCTAGAAGGTCGACGAGGGCCATGTAAATAAGCAGTCCTGCTGAGCAGGCATTGAGCAATCCCACAGTGATCAATGCGGTTGGGCTATTATCTCTGTAAATACTCGACAATGCAATCCCTAAAACGATCCCAAATGGGGTTGTAACCGCGAAAAAGAAGGCCATTACAAACTTTTTCACATTCGTATACTCCGCCTATCCACAAATTATAATATTTTGTTAGTAAACATTCATGCTATAACAGTGATATTGACATATGAATTGTATGTGAATAAACAAACCTATATATCAGGTTTGTTATCCTTTTTTCTAATTGTATGAATTTGTATATATTGTTTTGTGGTATTATATCAAAACATTTCAATAAATATGTGATTTTGGATTTACCTGGAGGATGCAGCCACCGAGACCCATGCCTTCAAACATTTGATGAAAGCAAAGAGCTGCAATAAGACCTTTAATGGTGCATGTGTCATTTGTTGCACCTAGAGATAGTCCAATGACTACGGAGTGAACTATAATTCCAAGCTCCAGCACCTATCGAATGTATTAATACAAACATATGAAATGGTTAATTTGATTTGTTAAACAATACATAATTGTAAGTGGTAATATATATAATGGACTAACCATAGCAATGACACGGTACCGCAATAACTGTGAGCCACCGTCTTTGGTAGTTAATGTAGCGCCATGACCGTGACTATGACCATGAGTTATCATCGGATTCACTCTCTCTTGATCGCCGTTACTTGCAGCGGGCACGATTTCAGTACCATTATTGCTAGTGTAGAAGCTAGTAGCCATGGAGTCGATGGCTAGAGTGACTAGGCCCGACAACATAGCGACAAAGCCCGTGAATGGAAACTTGTGCCATGGGTCGTCCTCTAGACATTCCGATGACAACATCTCAAAAGAATCCGGTAAAACATGCATGAAACTTGTTCCGAGGATGATCCCGGACGCGAAGGCTTTAACAATTGTGAAGATGTTTCCATCTGGATGGAGGAAAGGAACATATCGGCTAAAGAGAGGAGCCGAGACACCTATCATGCTGGTTAGGAGAATGGCTACAATGGATATGATTTTTAGAGGTAAGGCTTTAGCCTTGTTAACGCATGGGTTGTTTGACTCGGCTTCACATTCTTCCGGTGCCGTTGACATGGCCGGAGACACGGTGAAGCTAATGAGGATTAGGGCAAAGAAGAAGAACTTCATGAGTGTTGTAACCGAAGCCGCCATTATAAATGTTTAGAAACTTCTCTTTGATTTTGTTTCCTTGAATGTTTTGTAATATTGTGGGTTCTGTTTGGGCTTTCTTACGACTTAGGCTTATATATAGGAAAAAAATGTACGGGCTATTTCCATGCCGGAATTTTGCTGACGTTGAATATATTTCATCTTAATATGGAAAAATAATAACACGTCGGCGAAATCATTATTGTTTATGTTGGGACTTGGGGAAATTGCAATGTTCTTGCCCACGTACGTAATATGGAATTGTACGGATCTTGCCTTTTTACAAGTCGTATACCGTGTACGGTCTAATAGATAAAATTGTTGGCGCTATATATATCTACGTTATTTAACTTACTAGCTAGTATTATTTTTTTAGGGTTGATAATGTATGTTAAAAAAATAAAACTATTTGAAAAAGTGTTGCAAAGTTGACAAAAAGAGTTATTGCAACTATTTAACTTACTACTCCTTCTGTTTCATATTAATTGTCAATCCCAAGAGTTATTGCAAATTTTCCGAATTTAAGT